GCCTAAGCCTAAGCCTAAGCCTAAGCCTAAGCCTAAGCCTAAGCCTAAGCAAAGCCTAGCTAAAGCCTAAGCCTAAGCCTAAGCAACTAAGCCTAGCCTAAGCCTAAGCCTAAGCCTAAGCCTAAGCCTAAGCCTAAGCCTCAAGCCTAAGCCTAGCCTAAGCCTAAGCCTAAGCCTAAGCCTAAGCCTAAGCCCAAGCCTAAGCCTAAGCCACAAGCCTAAGCCTAAGCTCTAAGCCTAAGCCTAAGCCTAAGCCTAAGCCTAAGCCTAAGCCTAAGCCTAAGCCTAAGCCTAAGCCTAAGCCTAAGCCTAAGCCTAAGCCTAAGCCTAAGCCTAAGCCTAAGCCTAAGCCTAAGCCTAAGCCTAAGCCTCAAGCCTAGCCTAAGCCTAAGCTCAAGCTCCAAGCCTAAGCCTAAGCCTAAGCCTCAAGCCTAGCCTAAGCCTAAGCCCAAGCCTGGGCCTCCAAGCCTAAGCCTCCAAGCCTAAGCCCAAGCCTAAGCCTAAGCCTAAGCCTAAGCCTAAGCCCAAGCCTAAGCCTAAGCCTAAGCCCAAGCCTAAGCCCAAGCCTAAGCCTAAGCCTAGCCTAAGCCTAAGCCTAAGCCTGGGCCTAAGCCTAAGCCCAAGCCTAAGCCTGCTCAAGCCCAAGCCTAAGCCTAAGCCTAAGCCTAAGCCTCCAAGCCTAAGCCTAAGCCTAGCCTAAGCCTAAGCCTAAGCCTAAGCCTAAGCCTCCAAGCCTAAGCCTAAGCCTAAGCCTAAGCCTAAGCCTAAGCCCAAGCCTAAGCCACAAGCCCAAGCCTAAGCCTAAGCCTAAGCCTAAGCCCCAAGCCTAAGCCTAAGCCTAAGCCTAAGCCTAAGCCTAAGCCTAAGCCTAAGCCTAAGCCCAGCCTAAGCCTAAGCCTAAGCCTAAGCCTAAGCCCAAGCCTAAGCCTACAAGCCTAAGCCCAAGCCTAAGCCTAAGCCTAAGCCCTAAGCCTAAGCCTAAGCCTAAGCCTAAGCCTAAGCCTAAGCCTCCAAGCCTAAGCCTAAGCCTAAGCCTAAGCCCTAAGCCTAAGCTTCAAGCCTAAGCCTAAGCCTAAGCCTAAGCCTAAGCCTAAGCCTAAGCCCAAGCCTAAGCCTAAGCCTAAGCCTAAGCCTCAAGCCTAAGCCTAAGCCTCAAGCCTAAGCCTAAGCCTAAGCCTAAGCCTAAGCCTAAGCTCCAAGCCTAAGCCTAAGCCTAAGCCTAAGCTCCAAGCCTAAGCTTCCAAGCCTAAGCCTAAGCCTAAGCCTAAGCCTAGCCTAAGCCTAAGCCTAAGCCTAAGCCTAAGCCTAAGCCTAAGCCTAAGCCTAAGCCTAAGCCTAAGCCTAAGCCTAAGCCTAAGCCTAAGCCTAAGCCTAGCCTAAGCCTAAGCCTAAGCCTAAGCCTAAGCCTAAGCCTAAGCCTAAGCCTAAGCTCAAGCCCAAGCCTAAGCCTAAGCCTAAGCCTAAGCCTAAGCCTAAGCCTAAGCCTAAGCCTAAGCCTAGCCTAAGCCTAAGCCTAGCCTAAGCCTAAGCCTAAGCCTAAGCCTAAGCCTAAGCCTAAGCCTAAGCCTAAGCCTAAGCCTAAGCTCCAAGCCTAAGCCTAAGCCTAAGCCTAAGCCTAAGCCTAAGCCTAAGCCTACCAAGCCTAAGCCTAAGCCTAAGCCTAAGCCTAAGCCTAAGCCTAAGCCTAAGCCTAAGCCTAAGCCTAAGCCTAAGCCTAAGCCTAAGCCTAAGCCTAAGCCTAAGCCTAAGCCTAAGCCTAAGCCTAAGCCTAAGCCTAAGCCTAAGCCTAAGCCTAAGCCTAAGCCTAAGCCTAAGCCTAAGCCTAAGCCTAAGCCTCAAGCCTAAGCCTAAGCCTAAGCCTAAGCCTAAGCCTAAGCCTAAGCCTAAGCCTCCAAGCCTAAGCCTAAGCCTAAGCCTAAGCCTAAGCCTAAGCCTCAAGCCTAAGCCTAAGCCTAAGCCTAAGCCTAAGCCTAAGCCTAAGCCTAAGCCTAAGCCTAAGCCTAAGCCTAAGCCTAAGCCTAAGCCTAAGCCTAAGCCTAAGCCTCGCATCACACCCCTTCCAAGTGACTCTTTCACGCACTAAAGGCCGCTATGGAGCGTGTCTTCGGCTAAAAAAGCGCAATGCTCAAAAACTTAAAAAATTGCAGTTTTTCGGTCGATGGCGAAGACAACCTTGGTTACCCTCTTAGCTCGGGGTTTTGCTGCGGAAAGTTCAACAGAAATAACTTAATTTATTAATTGGTCGTGCCTCATCCAACGACTGATTCTGTGGGGTTGATATCAACGGATACGAAGCGATGGGGCCCATAATGGCCAGAGTCGGGCGGAGTGTTGCGTAGTCGAAAACTGCCCGTCAGCGACTCGATGCCCGGATCGAGACGTCGGGAAGCTTCTAAAAGACATTTCTGATTTTTAAAAAGATCTCGGCGAGACGGCACTGCCCCTGATTTTCAGTAGATTTTCATACCTTTCGGTGGTTTCCTGTCGGGCAGGTCGACGAGCGGTGGACGTTCACCGTTCTTCCATCGTGGATCGTTGGTGTTGACTGCATAGAAACTTTTGAAAAGCGTCTTGTCCCCTCTAGCCCTAACTTTTCAGCCATAGGTCCTATTCCTTATCACCGTACCTCGGTCCAGGCTCTGGGCTTGAAAGGCCGGTGGTTTTTTGTCAACGCTCAGCGTCTTTGACCCGAGAACCTAAAATCGGCTTCAGAATTCAGGCGCCAGGTTTTATATTTCTGGAAAATCTTGTCGATCACCGACCCGAAATGGTGTCTGCTGGTCGACGCCTACGTTAGGTTGTGGCATTGGGGACCATGAGGGGAGATTTTGGAGGTATTTCTCTGGAATTTACTTATAGCCTGCGATCGCGTGTTTCCGCGGGAAGTCACGAAGGATTGACTTACGCCCTCGTTCGATCGGGAACGTATATTGCTGGGTATTCACCAGACTCGTTGCGGCACCGGCTGTGTTCACATTTGGTTGAGAGGGGAAGAGAACGCCAGGGATTAGGGCACCTAAATATTTGCTTAATGTTTTTAAGGCTGCGAAAGGGTAGCCCTAATTACCGGCTATTATCTCTTGGTCGGAAATGACGATAAACTTAATGTTCAAGCGTATAACAGTAGCTCGGTGTTCCAAAAGTTTTCGAATTTTGCTTGTTTTCGGCAGAACTATTTTATCTTCCATTATAGTACGCTCTTAATCACACGCTTAGTATAGTTTTCGATGCTCGATCTAATGCCGTTCGACAAATGCAATCAAATTATAACAAAGTATAAACAATCCCGAGAAATCGCGATAAATCTGAAATTTTAAGACCGTTCGGCTGGTTAAAGTAAAAATCCAGCCCGTGTAACACCAAAATCCCTATCAACTCCTTATTACAGCGCCATGACGCGATTGTGGCTGTCGGAATCATAACCGGAAATCGTTAATAGTCCCAACCTGGCATCCCGAGAGTTGACTGCTGTAGCCCCCCAGCTTGCCCCATCTGATTTGCCATCCAAAATGGTGTCCCAGGCATCGTATCCGGAATTTGCTGGCCCACAGGAAGGCCAAATGCCGCTCCACCGAGGCCCGGCATGCCCATCATCCCGGAGGGTTCTACAAAAACGGAATTGGGCAGATTTTACGCTGCCACGGCTTCTGCTAGAGCAACCGAATCGGCGAATCGCTTACGCGATGGAAATGGCTGAAATGGGAGAGCTGAAGGGATGCCACCAAGCCCAAGCTGGGGTTGACCTCCGAGTACGAAACGATTCGCTGGGCCCGTGGAGGAAAACCTGGAATCGGGGTTTGGAACGAAACGAACCGTACGAAATGTTTTTGCTTATGATTCGGGGGGATTTCCGCGAAAATTAGCTTATGTAAATATTTACGTTCTGAACTTTTAACATTATGGATTTCGACATTGGACATTATGATGACGTGCCCGCACCTATCAACAGCCGTATCGAGGCGATCCAGAGAAATTTGCGAAGACGGGGCCTGGTTGACGGGCACGATGGGTGGCTGATCGGATCGACGGGCGGGCAGCCATGAGCGGCGCTCCTCCTCCGCCTCCGCCCCTAAATTCGCTGCCGTTTTTTGAGGTTTACGCCGTGTTGTTGCTCGTGCTCGTCACTCACCTTTCGCCACATGCTGCAGTTGATTGGCTAGTTGATCAGGATGTCGTACCGCCTGATCGATGAGACGACCGATACGACTGGGGATGTTGGTCCCCTCCTGCAGAAGACGGGCCGCGTCGCGCCACACGGATGGTCTGGAAAAGGGGGTGGCTTTGAAGGGGTACAGCCTACACGAAGCTCTACGCTCTAACACAAACTTTGTGGTGAGCAGATCGGGATCGGGAATGTTGGGCGGGGCCTCGGTATGCACTTCCACAGGGATGATCGGGCCAAGCTCCTGAAAATGGCGTGAAGCCCTCGAACGAAGCTGATGCTCACCTTGGCCACGCTTCCCACCGAGAATGGCCGATGCGAGCGGAAAAGCGGCTTTTCCTCATCGGCATCGTCTTTTTGGAAAGATTGATAATCGAATTAATAGTATAGAAATACCCGCATTGGCCGGAAGTTCAGCGCTGCTGTGCTGTTTTGCGGGGACGAGGGAATTCTTTTGGTTCTAAGAAGTCGCAATTTCGCCTGCCAAACAATTCGCCGCGTACCTGATTTTCGGCAATTTCCCTGAGCACCTCTGCGGGTAGCTGCTCTCCGGACGTGCCGACAATGTGCGGCTGAGGGCCGGGTGGGGCCACAAAATGCTCTAGGCTACCGAAACCCCCGAATGGGGATGGGGCTTTGGCATCGGGGCGCGGCGCTTCCACCTCGACTAAAATAGGGCTATCAATTCCCGGTGAGAGTTTCATTAAAGTGTTTGTTAATGTTTAACATTAAGTTAGCGTTTAACAGTTTTCCCGATTTTGCTTCTTTTTGTCAGAACTATTTTATTTTGGATTATTTTAAGTTAAAATTCAAAGTCTTAGCATATTCTTTGACGCTCTATCGAATCGAACTAAAAAACGTGCAAATATTGACTTTTTCAATTGCGCGTTGAAATCTTATTTTTGCAATAACTCTTTTTTATTAGATTATCTTATCTGAAATTAAAATTCTTAAGGTATTTTTATCGAGAAACTAGCTAAAATATCGAAAACCATCATTTAAATTTTATTCTCAGAGGCGCAGTTTTTTTGTTTTTGCCATAGCTTTTTTATGTTGCATTATTTCGAGTTGTGTTGAGCAGCCTTGGTGTTTTTTGATGCACTATCGAATCAGAAAACCTGCAAAAATGGCGTAAAAAAGCGCATTCAGAAAATAACCATAAACTCAGCCCAATTACCGTGCTCCTGCGCCACAGCCGAAAGCCGTGGGCTTGGGCCATACTGAATTCGTGCGGGCTTCGTGGTCTCCGTAGCCGACGCGAGCGCATTTTCCAGCTGAAATACAGGGCGTCCAAAAAAAATATCAAAAATCAAAATCGAGTCGGCTGCAAACGTGCCCGAATTCTACACCTTAGGCATCCATCTAATGCTCTAGGAAAGGCGCGTCGAGCACCTCTCCGATTTTCGAAATAACGCATTTTTTGCTAGATTTTTAGCACTTTCAATGCAAAAAGAATATGCTTTTGATCGAAAACTCGTTTAAACGGGTTAAGCGCTATCCAAGATGTGGTTTCGCAAACGGCTTTCAAAAATATGTGGTTGGGCAGCCAGCAAAAGCGTCAAATCCATAAATTGTCATTTTCGTAGAAACCCAGTTGCAACTGGGTCGGAATAGCATTAGAAAATCCGCCCGTGTTGCAAAAATAGCTAAAATTTCGAAAATTGTCATTTAAACCCACTTCGTCTTTCCGAGAGCTTTCAAGAAATATCTAAATCAGAAGAATTGGGCACGACTGCGACCCGCTAGGAAGCGGTAATTTTTTTAGGCCACTCCCCCCCGGTCGCCACTTTTTAAAAAACCGAAAATCGCGTCAATAATAGCGCCGCAGGCAAAAAAATCGCAAAAGGCATTCGCTACACTCAAATTCGTGGGAAAACACGGCAGAAAACGCGCCGCAGGCGAAAATTTTCTATGAACAATTGATTCACCAATGAAAAACCAGCGCCGCAGGCAAAAAATTTTGAAAAAATAAGCTTCATATACGTAAAAACTGTTTGAAAAACAGTAATAAACAGCGCCGCAGGCAGAAAAATTTTTGTAACTAAAAATCATAAGGGTCCCCCCTTATGAATTTTTCGGACCTCGACCGATTTCGGGGGCCCAGGGCCCCCTGGGCCCCCATCCTACGGGCCTGGTCACCAATAATAGATGAGCCCCCGGTCTACTGGGCCTTCCTGATCCCTTTAAGGCATGCAGCAGCATGCTCTACATACCTGGGCCCTATCCTCCTCATCCAAATTACCCAGTGATCGGCCCATCAACGCTGACTTCTCGTTGCTGCTCAGCGCGCCGTTCACCCAAATTGTGGCCAGCTGGCCGAGCGGCTGAAAGGGTAGAGGTTGCAACAATTTTTTGCAAAGTGACGGCGGCGATCATTTTCAACCTGGTGCAAATGCTCGGGCAATTGGCTTTTCAGCGCGAGCACGCGACGCAGCCGCTCCTCGCGTGTACTTTCGGAGAGACGACGGATCTCCTGAAAGTTGGAGTGGTGTTATTTTACTGGTTTTCAGACTTTTATCAAGAAACGTTATTTACATACAACAAAAATGCCAAAAAACTAGTTTGATAAAACTCTATTCTACAAAACCAAACCTGCATCAACTGTGGATTCGGGTAGGTGTTTTTCTCGAAGAGAAACACCGAAATCTCGGCCACCTTCTGCAGCTGAGCTTTATTACTGAAAAAACGTATTATCGACGCATTTTGAATTTGAAAATTGTGGAAATTTGACTGCCCCAATGTACAGAGTCTCCAATAGTTTTTAGCGATTTTCTGGGCTATTTTTGAAACTTGTAGCGGTTTGCATCCGGCTAATTTTGCCATCGACGATTTGTTTGAGAAAAATATTGAATTACCGTATTCTTGGGGAATTTTGGCCATTAAAAATGTCTACTGTCAAAAAACACCACAGAATCATTGTCATTTCATATTTCTTAGGTACGATTGCTACATGAAAAACTCAAAATAAATTTTCCTACATAACTCAAAAACTACCGTAGATATGGGGCTGTAACTCAGGATTCTGGTTAGTTCAGCGACGAAATTCCAGTGGGTTGTTTTTCGACACCTTCCTCCACCCGTTTCCTCGCCTACACCCTCTCACCCTCCCCCACTCTCTCCCTCCCGACACAAGGGCTCCGGCCAGCCACATAGCCCTCACCCCCATCCCCTCTCCCATCCTCCGTTGTGGTCTAGTGGTTAGGATTTATGGCTCTCACCCATAAGGCCCGGGTTCGATTCCCGGCAACGGAAGAATTTTTTGCTTTTTGCGCCCTGGGCGGCTTGTGCCTCCCGGATCATGATTCTTGAGGTTTTAGGCTGTTCCAGAATTTTTTAGCATAACTACCATGACTGTAGGATGGCGTGGATGTGGCGGATGCGCATGGGATCCCGCTCTTTGGCCACCACCACATCCAAAACTTGGTTTGCCCATTCGGCGTCGCAATCGACCAGCGCCTAGGTGATTCATATTATTTGTAGTAGTATTATCTGTTTCAATGGTTGAGAGGGGATACCTGTATGGACGCAGTTCCGCTGGATACCGTAGAGATCAGGGAAAGGAGGGAGAGCATCAAATATGCGCTCTTGAACAGCATCTTCTGGGTGAAGGGGATGTCTAGCGTCTCCTCATTCGATACGGAATTTTGGGGGCAATCGAGCAGAGATTCTTGGCAAGTTTAGGAATTCAAAGCTGACAGAAGGTTGAAATGCGGAAATCTTGTGGAGAAGTGGCCACGGACACTCGATTCGGGTGTACAAACAATCTGGACACCAATATATTTGCATATCTGGGAATAACGAGAGAGAGAGAGAGAGAGAGAGAGAGAGAGAGAGAGAGAGAGAGATGGATTTAGACAGATTGAAATTGGATACTCATAAGATTTTGCCAAAATCTACCGGAATTTCGAAAGCTCGGGGGAGACGAGTAAAAGTCGATGCGGAGCCTGAGGCGGTGGTTTTAAAGGGAAAGTGACTGAAGAGGAGGAATGGCATATGAGAGAGAGTGAGAGAGATACACAGAGTGAAAAGTGGTGTGGAGCACATTGGGGCATTCGTGTGCCGGGCTAATCCCAGCCCTCGGAAGCCGATGGCCTGGGGGGAGGGCAAACCGGTCACTCACCGGCTTCACCTGTAGTACCTGGCGATTTACGAGGGGTTGGATGAATATAGAGACAAGACAAAAACTGAATTACCTGCCAGAAAGGGGCGATCTGACCAATGGCAATTTTTGGCCACATTTTGGTACTGTGAGTAATTCAAAGTTTTTGAATCTGGAGCTCTTTTGCTTGTTCTATTTTTTGCTCTAAATTTTCGGCATTATTCAAGACAAAAGGACAGGCTTCGAAGGACAGAATTTTGTCAAAAACTGAGTTTAACCGGCCTAATCGCCACCCAAACTATGTTTTCGCCACGGCTTTCGAAAAGCTGTCGTCGGTGCTGCGAGGAAACGTGTAAGAATTCGTATTGTGATTGTTGCGATCAGAAAAGCATCACGACATCCGCCCGTTTTGCAAAAACATTGATAAATGCAAGAAAAATTCCGGAAGTTCGGAATCGGAGGGGTAATTGGATAGATACCTACATCTTCAAAATGGACATGACTTTCGTCCGCTGCTGAGGGGTTTTTTGGGACACCCTGTAGATGAGAAATATTTCGGTTCGTCTACAGTTTCAGACGCGTAGGATTACTAACGATAAGACCTAAGCATCGTCGAAAATGGCAACCGATCCAGATCGTCATTTTCCGATAGTAATTCGGTTTTGTCATACCCACAAATTTTTATCTATCTTATTTCATTCAGCTTTCACCTCTATCTACGGTCGAAAGTTTGGGGAGAAATGGTGCGCGCCTGGGGGCCGGGGGGATTGGTAACAAATGCTCGCGTGACGTCATAGCCTGTGGGGGGATACCCCCTCACACCAGCGCCGATGATTTTTGATCTTGCTAGAGAGGGAGCGAGAGATAGAGAGAGAGAGAGAGAGAGAGAGAGAGAGAGATTGCCATTCGATAGTAGCCCCCAATATTTCTACCATTTTTGACACTTGACACCTCGGGTGGGCAAACGAGAGTGTTGCCTTAAATGACGGTCATTTTTCAGGTCAAGGGGTATAAGATCCCAAAGAATCCCTGCGAGATTGCCCTAGAACGTTGGATTCTCTAAGGATCCCTGCTGGCCTGCCCCAGCTTGAGTTTCAACTTCCTGAAGATTCACTGCGAGTTGCTAGCAAAATTCTAAGCCCTATTGCATTCTTTATTGCAAAATTTCCCTAAATTTAAGCGCTGTTCCGATGTCTTCTTATCCCCTGCAAAGGGTTACGGTATTTCCTGCAACCGCTCTCTCACTCTCACTCTCTCTCTCTCTCTCTCTCTCTCTCTCTCTTTGTGTGTCCATGGGGGGCAAGAGCTGCCTCGAATGTATCGGGAATTTCGTTGACAGGCCAATGCCCTCCCCCCCCATTCCTCCTCTATAATAAATGGCCCACTCACTACACAACACGCCTCATTACGGTGGCTTCTAAACGGTGTGAGGGCCGGGCTGAGGAGGAAGCCACAATTGCCACGCACACAATCGTGGACTTTGCATCGAGCATGGTGGGGGTAGCGTAGATAGATTACGGTAGGTAAAAGGCTGGGGCGGAGCCTGGTGGGTTTCTGCTCTTTCTTGAGGGATCTCTGCTAGCCTGCCGGTCTGGCCAGCAGCCAATATTAGGCCCAAATGGTTTCTGCTGGTTTGCCCTACGAGGTCCCAGAAACTGCTTATTGTATAGGTAGCTGTAAATTCCTTAAAAGTGTGAGCAAGTGTTTGAAACCAAACGTTAGCTTACCTCAAACGGTCTCTGCTATCTTGCTTTAAACATCTGAGAGTCGTAGATAATCCAGAATTTCCCTAAAACTCTCTGCTAGCTGGCCCGCTGGCCGGGCTCGAGATCCCCAATGGTCTCTGCTAGCCCGCCTGGCCCAACGCTTCAGCCTTTTCTTACAAATGGTCACTGCTGGTTTGCCGAGAGGGAGCCTGAATCTCCATAAAAGCCTCTGTCGACCTGTTTGGCGGCTCATTCCCCAGGTGTTCTCTGCTAGGTTGGCTACAGCTAGCTCCCTGCTTCGGGCAAATCCGCCAAGATCTCTGCTAGCCTGCCCTGATTAGTGCTGTTTGATCACCAACATACCGTACCTGGCCATTGGTGATAAGAACAGAGAGAGAGAGAGAGAGAGAGAGAGAGAGAGTTAGAGAGAGAGAGATAGTTAGAGAGAGGCTAGAGATCGCTGCCGATAATGGTGGTCTTTGTGTGTACCCGATGGTGTGTGTGGATAGAGGTTGTCGTCGACACGTGGGGGGTCCGTTTGTTCTCTGCATCTCTGCCCCCTCTCCCTCTCTCGTGCTCTCTCGCCCTGATTGATGGAATGGTTTGGGTGGGGGAATACCCTCGGGCAACAACGGGGAGATACCCTCTTCCTCACCCTCCACCATTCCCACCCCCCGATCCATAAACACTTGCGTTAGAAAGTTTATTCTAGTCTTTGAGTTTTATTACTTTTAAGCCAAAGCCTCATAAGCCAAAGCCTAAGCCTAAGCCTAAGTCAAGCCTCAGCCAAGCCTAATCTAAGCCTAATCCTCACCAGGCCTAAGCCTAAACGGAAGCCTAAGCCTAAGCCTCATAAGTCTCCTAAGCCAAGCCTACGCATAAGCTAAGTATTTATAAACCAAGCCAGAATCAAGCCTAGGCAGGGCTTAAGCGAAGCCTAAGCCAAGCCTAAGCCAAGCCTAAGCCAAGCCTAAGCCAAGCCTAAGCGTAGCGTCAGCCAAGCCGAAGCCAAGCCAAGCCCAAGCCTAAGCAAAGCTTAAGAAATTTTTTCTTGTAACCTACAATTTTTCTTGCATTAACAAGACGCTAGAATTGGATTTTCCTCCGGATTGATTACTGTACACCGATTCCACTATTTTAGGGCTACAATCTATTGTTTTTTTACCCTGTAATTGGACACGGCTCGGTTCGTTTATTTGGTCAAATTGCCTTGCCTCTAAACAATCTGCTCCTCAAAAAACCCTATGTAATTCGATGCCGGTCCAACTTTTCCACCGGTCAGCGAGCAGAGACCGTTTGCGGAATTTCGCCTTTTCCAGGTCTACGCGCCGGCATCATTTGTGTAATATTCGTTTTTGCTCGTTTTCTGCGTCGATGTTGAAATACGGGAAGCGGAAGGCGGAAAAACAAGCCTTTCCTTCCCGATTCCGCGGCTTATCATCGGGAGGAGGGGCAACGAATTGATACACTCGACGGTATAATGAGAGAGAGAGACAGAGAGAGAGAGAGAGAGAGAGAGAGAGAGAGAGACAGGAGGGGTTGTCGACGAATTGGGCGGAGGTAAACAGTCCCTTTAAACCGCCCAGCCCCCTCCGGTCATTAGAAATGATAAGCACCACTGCCCCCCCATCCACGGCATGGCACCCACGTTGTCTTTGATTCTCTGCGCTCTATCTCTCGCCCTTCCTCCCTCTCTCTCTCCCTCTCTCTCGCTCGCCCTCCCCTCTCTCTCTCTCGTTCTCTGTCTCTCCCTCTCCCTCTCCCTCTCCCTCCCTCTCTCGCTCTCTCTCTCTCTCTCTCTCTCTTTCGCTCTCTCTCTCTCTCGTTCTCTGTCTCTCTCTCTCTCACTCTCTCTCGTTTGACTACGGTCGCTATAAGATTTCGAATTATTTTATCCCAACTGCTCCCCGCTAGCCAATTTCCGCAAACTCTCTTTGCTAGCCTGCCCTTTTTCATTCCTGTGAAATTTCCCAAGGAAACTCTGCAATACCCCGCTTTCTCGCAGTCCACACGCGACCACTCGCAGTCACGCAGCCCAGTTTCAGCTCGATCGCCCTGCTTTTTTTAGAATCCGTGATTCATTTTTCCTGATCCCCAATGATCTCTGCTAGCTAGCCATTTTTCATTTTCTCAAATGGTCTCAGCTAGCCCCCCCGCCCCATTGAAATGGGGAATTCCCCTCCCTTCATTTTGGTCATTGAGCCCTGAGGGGCATAAGAATGGGTTATCAGTCCCTTTTTGATCTGCCTTTCTCTCTTTCTCTCTCTCTCTCTCTCTCTCTCTCTCTCTCTCTCTCTCTCTCTCTCTCTCTCTCTCTCTCTCTCTCTCTCTCTCTCTCTCTCTCTCTCTCTCTCTCGCTTTATCAGTCTCCCCTCCCTCCCCACCCCTCCACACTTCAAAACAACCTCCCCCCCCACTTCTAGACAACATTCGGCTTCAATCCCCTCCTGTCAACACCACCTTAAATATACAAAAATTAGCATCTCGGGTTTTTCGCCTTTTATATAATTTTTTGGCATTTTTTTCTGGGTGCAAAACGATTAAATCACAGCTCGAAAATTTAAAAACAGATTTTTGAGTTCAATGAACTGTTCTAGTCGTTTTTTGGCAAGCTAGCAGAGACCATTTGAGAGCCGGAGAATTTAAAAAAATGAAAACTGCTCGTTCTCTGTGTGTGGCTTATCCGGATCTCCTTTGTGGTCACTCCCCTCCCAGAGGCCCTTATCAACAATTCCCCACTACCAGGGTGAACGGCCATTTTGTGAAAGTCTTAGTACTGTGCCCCTCCCCCCTGGCGTTTGTATCACTATTAATCTTTTTATTATTTTATTATTACGAGTAATTTAATTTCCACAGCCCATTTTTTTGGCGACAATTTTTGTTGTTTTCCCTAAAATCGGCAATTTTCCGATTTTTTAAAATCTTCTTTTTCGGGCGAAAAAGTGCTAAAAAGCCTGATTAACTTTAAAATTAACTATGGTTACAAAATTGCCTAAAATGTTTACGTAATTTTTATTTTTCCAGTGGTTTTCAGAGTTTTTTTGAGGTTCCGGCCCGTCACTCGGCTCTCTACCATTTTCCCGTTTTTCAGTAATTTGCATAAAAAAGAACAATTTCAGGGCTACAAAACGATACAAAAAAACGCGTGAAATTATCCATTCCTCGATTTTCATGAATTTTTGAGCAAAAACTTGAGGATTTTTTTGCCTTCAGAAGTCCTTTAATCGGTTTTAACAGGCGTTTCGATCCTCCTGCGACACGAAAATCGCGCAATTTCATGGCGTAATGGATTGTCTATATTTTTAAAACAGAATTCGAGCAGATTCTATTTCATTGCGTAACGAGTTAAAGTAGCCACTAAAAAATCAATAGTCGTGCCTTCCCGGGCCCTTTAAAACGTGTAAAAATCGAGTTTGTTGTTTTGTATATCTACCCTGCGATATTTGTATGTATTTTGGAGGTGCAAGGGCATATCTGGCGATCGATATCCGTCACCTCGCCCCGCCCACCCCCCTTTATACCCGCAGGCCATTTTGACCCATCCGTACGCCGTTGGTGTAGATAGTACACACCCGTAATTCTTCACTAGTATCGTTTGTAATTCCCGCGTAATATTGCCTTTTTTAAAAATGCGTTAATTTATCATACACCAATTTTCAGAAATTCTATTTCTCATAAATTTTTCAAAATTTTTAAATGGTTGCCATGCTCTCATAATTTTTATTTTGCTGTTGTGGATTTTGATGCGGTATATGCTAAATTCTTTACAAAGCAAAATTAGTGTTTTGAAGATCCTGATTTAAATATACTAGTCTTTGTTTAAATATTTTTCAAAGATTTAATCACGTCTAAATTCTATCAATATTTCTATTTCTTAGTTTTGAATTTGATGATTTATATACTAAATTCTATACATTTAAAATCGTGATTTTGCATTTGCAAAATTTACATAGCATTTTTAAGCAAGTTTTTAGCTATTAAAAACGTTTTTAAAAAGCCATAAATTGATCTAATTTTTCCATAATTTTTGGATTTTCAATTGAATATTGAAATTTTTTTGAATTCTTAATTCTAAAATCTATTTTTAATCAACATAAAAATACGCGAAATTCATTGAAATGGAGCGTAGGCAAAGCTGGGCAGTCTTTATCGCAAATTTACCCCTCCCCCCCCCGCAGCCGGCCGCTCACTTTTTGAACGACAGCTGACGTAATTTTTCCTATTCCTATTTTTTTCAATGATTTTTGAGCTAAAAATCATACATTTCTATGTACATATTTTTGCAGATTATATTATGCCACCCGAGTCGAGTTTTCATCGGCAAATCCTCTCCCCGCCGCGCCACGACAAGAGCCAATACGCCGTTACGAAGTGCCGGGAAGCATTGAGGTATTTTTTATCTGATTTTCTGTATGTTTTTATTCATATTTATATGTGGATTTAAATTGACAATTAGTTTTTACGTCTACAGTAGCGTGCGTAGCTTAGTGCTCTTTCTCTATCTCGCTCTCCCTCCCTCTCTCGCTCTCTGTCTCTCTCTTGCTCTCTCAGTCTTTCTCGCTCTTTCTCTCTCTCGCTCCCCCTCTCTCCCTCTCTCTCTTTTTCTCTCTCGCTCTCTCGTTCTGTCTCTCTCCTGCTCTCTCTCGCTCTCTCTCGCTCTTTCTTTCGCGGTCTTTAATCGGGTAACGAAACCATTTGAGATCGCTCGACAAGCAGCTAGCAGAGTTCATTTGGGAATTTTTTTACATGATCAGGGCAAGCTAGCAGAGACCATTTGCGAAACGAGTCGAATCCAAATTCAAATTGCAGAGACCACGAAGACGACGTGTCGGCCCAGAGCTTTCGCGGCGAGAAGCACAAGGTGGTCGTGTTGGGCGATTCAGGTTGGCGACACTGTCCCCTTAGCACAGCTTGCAATGACAATTTAGGAAGATTTTATCGCGTATATTATGTAGGCGAGCTAGCAGAGTTCTTTCGGGGAAATTTTACGTTATTTCTGGCCTAGGCACGCCACCGGAGATCATTTGAGAGGATTTTATCGCATTTATGGCGTAGGGTAGCCTTGCAAAAATAATTTGAGCATGCGGAAGCCTAGCAGAGATCGTTTGGGAAGATTTCACCAGTTGTGTGGCTAGCGGAGACCGCTTGCAAAATTTCCGGGAGGCCAAGGCCCGAGGCAGACTAGCAGAGATTTTTCGAAAAGTTTTCCGCCTATTTCTGACCTATTTCGGCCATGCAAAATCCTGCAAAAATCTGCTTACACAGCATATATTTTTGGGCGGGTGGTGATAGGCGGCCGGTGCCCGGGGCCCTGCTCAAACGTTTGGCGCCTCATTTCGATGACAGCCACCCAGAAAAAATATGGAGATAATGAGGAAATGGGCTCTCTATGGTGTGGGGGAAACAGCTGGAAAAACCGGAGTTATATTAATATACTTTAAAATGCAACAAAAATAAGTGAAAGCAAAAAGGGCGTGGCTTCGTGTTCGACCGGGTTGGTTCTTCTTGCCTTCAATGGTCCTTTAAAAAGTAAAAAAAACACTAGGAAAACAGCCAGGACCAGAAAGAGGGCGGGGTTTCGTGTCTTCATCGCCCCTTTAAAAGGCTAAAATAACCTAAAACACATGCTGGACTAGGACGGGCGTGGCTTCGTGACTTCATCGGTCCTTTAAAAGCGCAAAATAACTTTGAAAACAAGCAGCACCAGAAAGGGGCGTGGCATCGTGGCTTCAAGGGTCCTTTAAAATGCCATAAACTTCTAAAATCTCAAAACATTCCAGGCGTCGGCAAAACGTCGCTCATCTACCGGCACAAATTCGGCGAGATCAACGTGCCCTTCAACGCGACAATCGGCGCCAGTTTCGTCACCTGTGACATGTGGGTTACGGTAGCCGCGAAAAATGTGATATTTCGAGGTTTTGAGGGCATTTAAATACCTTTAAAAGTAGCGAAAAATCGCTTAAAAATCCCTAAAAAGTTTTTAAAAGTAAATTAAGAAATTTTTCAAGATTTTCACGCCTTTCTGGTACCTTGAAAGCTTCACAGATTTTTAAAGGGACAGTGACAGGTAAAGAAGCATTTTTTTCAGGGACGTTAAAGGGGAGCAGAGCCAACTGCAGATCTGGGACACGGCCGGCCAGGAGCGATTTCGAAGCATGGTGCGTCCTTGGTTTCCTCCCGAATTTCATGTCGTGATCGGATAATCCTAGCCCATTTCATTTCGTAATCGTATAACTCGAAACCCCGATTTCCAGGTGCCAATGTATATGCGAAACGCCGAGGCGGCCATCCTCATCTACGACATCACAAATCGCGCCTCTTTTGACGATATCGACCGATGGTATCTTGGTACGTTTTGGCGTGATTTGGACAGTACCGTACTTTCGGGGGATTCCGTGTTTTTCTAATTTAGAGCTGTCAGTTGGAAAGTATCGGAGGCTTATTGAAAAACGGGAAAGTGGTAAAAACGTGGAACAACGTATTGTAGCGTAACGTGGAGCGTACTGTAGCTTCTAACCTACCGTACTCTGTAGCGCCCAGATACGAACTGCAGGTTATAAAGTACCGTAATCCGGCATATATTGTACTTCGCAACATACCGTAATCTGGAGCGTAGCGTAGCTTAAAGTGGCGCGTACAGTAGCTTCCAATCGTAATCTGGAGCGTACGGTAGCTCGAAACGTACTATAATTAAAAGCGTATTGTAGCTTCAGGCACCGCAATCGAGAACACAAAATTATTTTACAAAACTACAGTATCGAAAAAGCAACAATCAAATTTTATTGATTATTTTCAGAGCTTTCCCGAATCTGCGGTCCGACCGAGCCAATAATGGTGCTTGTGGGGAATAAAGCGGATTTGGAGGGCAGAAGAGAAGTCCTCTACGGCCATGGCGTCACAAAAGCATTGAAAATGGGAGCACGATTCTATGAAGTATCCATGTATCATCCAAATGGTTCGTTTTTAAAACCGGCAGAGATATTTTGGGAAATTCAGAGCTAGCCGAATTTGGTAAGCTAGCAGAGACCATTTGCGGAAAAAAATTGGCAGAGATGAATAGGGATTACAGATCGAGTTGGCAACTAGCGAAGACTATTTTCGGAAAAATGCCATTAGGTATGGGTAGGCTAGCAGAGACATTTTGGGAAATTTAAAGCTAGTTAAATTTCGTAAGCTAGCAGAAACCATTTGCAGAAACTTTTGCCAGGGCTAGCAGAGACATTTAAGGAAATTGGTCCTTAATCGTGAAAGGCAATTTAGCAGAGAAATTTTGGGGAAAATCGATTTTTGATGGGCAGCTAGCAGAGACCTTTTGAGAAATTGAACGCTTAAATGAGACAGGCCATCTGCAGAGATCGTTTGCGGATATTTTTGCTTGTCTCGGCTAGGCAAACTAGCAGAGAAAATTAGGGAATTCCACTCGACCTGGCAAGCTAGCAAGGGCCATTTGCGGAATCTGTAAAATGCCTCAATTTCAGCGATCGAGCAGCTCCTAAACGACCTCGTGGTGGATATTCGTGGGGCTGATGATGGGGAATGTTCTCGAGCAGAAACTCTAGTACTTGAGGATGATGATGAAATGAAGGTCAGCAACAGGTTCAGCCTCTCAAGTGACCCCTGCTAGCATGCCTTGAAGATTTAGCAACGGGGCAGACGGGCAGGTTGACAGAGATTTTTTGAGTTGCCTCAAAAATCACTGCTAGCTTGCTCAAGCCGCCTGATATTTTTTCTCAAATTGTCACGGCTAGCTTGCCCTAGAAGTTTTTAATAACTTTTAAGTAGGTTAGAGAATTTAAATTCAATAGAAGCTTAATTTTTATAGGTTTTAATTTTTTTAATTAAATCTAAAGTTAAAAAGTCCTTTTAAATTAAAATGAGCCTCTATAAATTAACCGAAATTTTTCATTATAAAAAATCGTAGACTTCGAATTTTCAGTCGATTTAAGCGAAATAAAATTAATAAACAGATAGTAAATAATAAATAAATAAATCGCGAAAAAATAAAATTCCAAGTTTTTTTAAATAAGGAACGAAAGTTCATAATTTGATGTAAAAATCAATAATTTTTGAATTTCCAGGTGATCGAGCAGCGGAAGCTCTTCGGCTGCTGTAATTTATAACCATCCGATTTTTTTGGTTTTTTTTATCGTTGTTATCTTGTTAGCGTTTTTCTTGTTAGTTTTAGCTTTCTTCAATTCTACCGTATGCCTCGACGAGTCATTTTTGTCCCCTCACCCCCCTCTTTAATTAGACGCCCCTAAATTATTAGCATAATTTTTGCTACAGTACACAAACCCTGGCGGCGGTTTCAAAAATTGAAATTGATTTTCAAAATTCGAAAAAATTATTATGTTTTAATTTTTTAAGCTGGCGGCCTGTAATTTTAAAGGGGGTGTGACAGCATTAAAAACAATGTTGTCACTAAACCTTTAAATTAGTAAAAACTCATGTTTTCCTCGAGCTACGGTAACGCGGCTACGGTTATCTTTTTGGAGATACGGTAATCCAAATTTTCGGGAATATTGTATGATTACAGTAATCCTTTTGCGGTAATCCAAATTTTCGGGAATATTGTATGATTACAGTAATCCTAACATAACGTAGCTTAACGTAGCGGAACGTAACGTAACGTAGCTTAACGTAGCGTAAAGTAACATAGCGGAACGTAACGTAACATAACGGAACGCAACGTAATGGAACGTAACGTGACGTAGCGGAACGTAACATAACGTAACTTGGCGTACCGTACGTAGCGGAACGTAACGTAACGTAACGTACCGTAGCGGAACGCAACATATCGTAATGTAACTTAACGCACCGTAGCGTAACGTATCGTAACGTAACGTAACGTAATCGTAGCGCTACGGCTACCGTAACCCGAATTCTAGAGCTGCAGTACCTTTTGAGTTACCGTAGCCCAAATTCTATGGCTACCGTAACCCGCCGGTCTTCTGTAAGCCGCTTCGAGCTACCGTAACCCTAGCGCCACCCGGTACAGTACCCTCAGGGCGCTACCATAACGCCCGAAGCTAGACCTACAGTAACCCTCTGGATCTGGAGCTACGCTGATCGCCCCGAGATACCGTAACCGTCAAATCATCATTACCGTATCGCCCTAAAGCTTCCGTAACCCGATACCGTACCCCAAACCTACCGTAACCCCTCGTTGCGCCAATGCGTGGTACCTCTCACCCCCTCCCCCCCTTTCAGGTATCGAATTGTCTATCGTGTCTGTGCTATGCCTGGTATTCTCCCCCCATTACCGTCCCGTGGACATCACTGCCCGATTCTTGTCAAAAAACACACGAGCAAACACCATTTGTTGCCTTCTTACCGTATTTCTTGTCCGTTTTTGTGTCTATTTCTCTCTCTCTCTCGCTTCACTTAATTTATCGCTCACGTCTTACACACACAATTTCTGGTGGAATAAAACAGTTCAAAGGGTTATCATCCCTCTTGGCAAATTGCATTTTAAAGGGATGGTGACACAAGGGGATCCGTCGGGAGCGACAAACTACAAACTACAACTTTCTCGAAAAATACGGCAAGAACTTAGGGGACGGTAAGTCCAGAAACAAACATCAAATGACTTTTGCAGCTTCAAAAATTTGACAAAAGGCGATTATGCTTAGAAAATATAGAAACGAATTCAACTACAAAATCTGTGAAATTTTAAACTAAATCGGAAAACGTTTAATTTTTATCATCTTTTTGATTAATGTATCTGGAGTATTTTAATGAATTTTAATTTTAATTCGACTGGCTTCGATAAAAGCGAAATTTCCGCTACCATCCATTCCACGAAAATACGCGGTCCACTTTCCATATCGTCCCGCAACACACGCAAGGTGCGCCCTCATTTCCCTAAAAGATGGGCTAGTAGCCATCAAGGATCAGCCACACTCTCTCTCTCTCTCTCTCTCTCTCTCTCTCTCTCTCTCTCTCTCTCACTCTCTCCCATTCCCGAAGATGCAAATTTCCATTTTCCTTATCTCCGTCCCTTTCTCCAACCCACCAATCACCCCCAGGTTGAAATTTCCTGATTTATGCGAAATCGGACAGCAAAGGATCGACATCAAATTGCCTCTGCTAGCCCGCCCTTGCTATCTTTCCCCCAAAGCTCTCTGCTAGCATGCTCAGAGATACGGACCCTTTTCCGCTATCGCTCATGCTAATTTCCGCTTCGAATTATTCACCTAATAACCATTGATTTCCTCAAAGTTCCTCTGCCAGCCCGCCATGACAACACAGCTAAACCTCGGCCACCCAGCCCCCAAAATACGACTGATTCATCGACAACTGCCCGTCCCACACCCTTCGCGGCGCTTGAAAGCGGAAACAGCTGACCAGGGCTCTAATTTCTCTCTCTCGATCTGTGTCTCTCTCGCTCTCTCACCTCTAGTTATTCTCTGAATTTGAAGTAGCCTTTCGTCAGCTAAACCGGTAAATTTGCGCTCTTTATATATTTCACTCTCTCTCTCTCACTCGCTCGCTCTCTCTCTCCCTCTCTCTCTCGCTTTCCTACGCCTCTCTCAGGCCTGTTGTGATTCCTTGATTTTTCAAAGCTTCAAGGAAAAAATCAATTAAGGGGGTAAGGACACCTTGATTTTCTCTCTCTCTCGCTCTCGCTCTCTCCCTCTCTCGCCTCGCGATTCCCCAATAACCGCTGCTAAAAGTTGGACCCTCGGTTGTGAAGACCCACCCAGAGACCCTAGGGTCTCCCACATGTGGACCCAATCTCGGCGGGCTGACACTCGGGTCGTTACTCTGTTTCTCCCTCTCTCTCTCTCTCTCTCTCTCTCTCTCTCTCTCTCTCTCTCTCTCTCTCTCTCTCTTCTCTCTCTCTCTCTCTCTCTCTCTCTCTCTCTCTCTTTCTCTCTCTCTCTCTCTCTCTCTCTCATCTCTCTCTCTCTCTCTCTCTCTCCTCTCTCCCGCTTTTCTCAAACCTGACTTCTCAGTCCCTTTAAAATCTCTCAGCGCTAAACCCGAAATTGCGGATGCCAAAAAGAGGAAACGCTAAAGGGGTGTGGCCCATCTTTTTCAAGAGATTCTCGGTTTTTCCGTTCTGGTTTCTGCCAGTTCTACACCTCGGCAAGCTAGCAGAGATCCTTCGGGATTCGCGTAGCAAGCAGAGAGTTTTTGTGGAATTATCGATCTGCGGGTTTGCTAGCTAGCATAGACTTTTGAAGAATTGGAAGATCGTAAAAATTCCCTGAAACGATTTTGGAATTTTTAGGGTAGCTAGCAGAGATCTTTGAGGAAATTGGTAACATGTGGAGTTTTTGATGGAATTAAAGGGAACGCGACAGACCAAAATTCTGAATTTTTTAATTTTTGCTGGGCTAGCAGTGATTTTTAACGAAATGAGCGGCTCGATAGGAATACCTGATTTTTTAGAAAATTTCGCTTGTAGAGACTTTTGGGGAATTGAATGAAACGTGCCAAGCCATTTTTGTTGATAATATCTATCAGGGCGTGGCATTAGCTTGGCTAAATAGTGCCGTGGGTTGGATAGAAATAGTTGTCTGTCAGCATGTGGTGGTTGATGGATCGCCTGAAGGGCACAAGTCCCCCCTTTCCTCTCAGCTTTCCACCCCATCCCCCTCACCACCCATTTTCTGCAAACATTTTTATCGTTTTCCCCAGCGAGTTTCGGTTATTTCGTCCCTAAAAATCTCTGCTAGCCTGCCCGGGTTCTATGGTAATTTTGCTTAAATCGATTCAAGCATTTCCTCAAGAACCTCTGCTCGCCTTCTTCGCTTTATCAGCCAAGCTGCTTCCGCAAAGATTTCTGCTAGCTTGCCCATAACCTCATCGAAGGTTCCCCAAAAATCTCTGCTAGCTTTCCGGCGAAAATTCCATTTTTCCTGAATTCCCTTGGCTTGCCTGCCCCTCTGATTCCCCCAGCATCTCCGCTAATCTGCCTCACAGCGTAGTTCCTAAACAACCTCCGATCGCCTTTCCTAACGGTCCATTCCTTAAGAATCTCCGCTAGCTCGCCCGTCTCGAATTTCTCAATAATCCTTGCTAGCCCGTTCCTCACGTGATTCCTCAATAATCTCTGCCAGCCCCCCGGGGAAACCCTTTCCGAACGGAACGCTGCTAGCTTCCTTCTTACTGTGACTTCCTCAATAACCTCTGCTAGCTCGCCCGCCTCGAAATTCCTCAATAATCTTTGCCATCCAATTTCCCTCAATACCCTTTGCTAGCCTACCTGTTTTCCAAAATTCTCTCTGCTAGCCGGTCCAAGTCAATTATCCAAAAACGATCTGTGCTAACCCGCTCAAGTCCTTTTTCCTCAATTCTCTCCGCTAGCCCGCCCAAGACAATGATCCTAAATGGTCTCTGCTCGTTGAGGCCTGCCATTGTTCCTAAATGCTCTCAGCTCGTTCGCCAGGCAAACGTTTTCCCAAATTCTCTCTGCTAGCCTACCCAAGCGAATTCCCTTCATACCCTCTGCTAGCCTGCCAAGCCAATTCTCCGCAATTTTCTTTGCTCGCTTGCCCAAGATACTTTTCCTAAATTCTCTCTGCTGATTGTCTAGTACAAGGTCAATGTTTGTATGTGTAAATGGTGTCCTCGTCAGTGTCCACAGCAAGTCGATCTCCCAGCCTCTTTTTCTGTATCCCCCCTCCCCTCAACGAACCAACTGTCCGGGAGTATTGCCCCTGTGTCTCGTCTCGTAATTCCCATCCCCTGCTTTTTCCCGCAGAACCTTACGTCTCTCTCTCTGTCTCTCTACCTCTCCACTCTCTCGCCAGGTTGTACGACCACCCCCCTAAAGCTACCCCGTTTTTCCCGGGGGCCCACTAGCCATTCACACCTTACGGCACTCTCTTCCCGCTAGTGTTGAGCATGTTTTTTGGGGACTTCCTTAAGGGTCTCTGCTAGCATCCCTCAATTCTAAAAAAACCCTGCTAGCTTGCTAGCCTGCCTAGAAACATAAATGGTTTCTGCCAGCATGCCCTGAATCTTCAAAGAAGTCTGCTAGCTTGCCTTCGATCCTTGGACATCCTTATTTTCCACAATTGTCCAGGCTAGACTGCGTCTCGTAACGAGCTACCTAAATTATCTCTGCTAGCTTGCCTCGACAGCAACCAAATTTTCTCCAATGATC